CAGTGTGGCTCACCGGGGGCTAACATCGTCTTGAAAGTGTTTATTACCGTTTTTTTTTTTTTTTTTTTTTTTTTTTTTTTTTTTTTTTTTGGAAACAGAAGCTTTATTCAATATAATAACAGTACATTACGAGTGAAAACAACGGTTGTATGTTATTATACGAACGCTGGGAGAGAAAAAGAAGAAATCGGACTCATGACTGGCGTCGTATGTCCGCGGAAAGAAGAAGATCACAGGTGGAAGACGTGAATGTGAAAATAGTTACATATGTAAAGCATCACGTGAATGGTGTCTAGTAGAATGGGATGAAGAAGAGGGTAGAGTGTTAAATGTTGGATACGGGAAGGAGAGAAAGAAGGAAAGAATGGATCGTGCACTGGTCTGTTGACTTCGTACGCAATAGATATGCGAAGATAAATAGAGGAGCCAATTTGATGAATATTTGAGTTTGATCAGCCAAAGCTTTGCTTCGTGTCTTGTTATATATAAGAAGCAAACTCGTAGTACACGATTCCGATATAACATTTTTTGCACAGATTCGGCCAGCACAAGAATAGTCTTGAATATCGATGTAGATATTATAAAGATATTCAGGAGATGTTGTTTTTGATTTGGTCGAAAATGTCTTGTAAATGATTACGGAGTGTCGTGTCATTTTGTATGGTAGCAGTTTGTATCGCTTTTTGAAGTAGTCCTGTTGCATAAACATCGATTTTCGGTACATTACTGATCTGATGTATGTATGCAGTTGATGTATATATGGGTAGACCGAGAGCAGCACGTAATGCTTTGTTTTGCATAATCTGCAGTCGGTTCCATATGTGTTGATCAGCAGTAAGTAGAACAGGATAACCATAGACAATAATTGTGCGCACAATTGATTTGAAAATGTTTATCATTATCTTCATGTTTGGACCGTATGACATTCTCGATAGATAGCGAAGCAGGCCGATCCGAGGACCAATCCTACTTTCTATGTGATCGAGATGTTTCCGCCAGTTTAACCGTTTGTCGATTATTACACCCAAGTATCTTGTGTGATCCACCGGAGTGATTATGGTGTTTTCCACTTTCACTTCCACTGGATGTATGTATTTCTTTCTTGGGTGTAGGCTGAAATGAACCAGCTCTGTTTTTGTCGGTTGTAGCTTTAGTTTCCATGAAGAGCACCAACTTTCGAAAGCATCTATGGATTGTTGAAGTCTTTCGTTAAGACCTGTTGTGGATATTGTCGATGTCCATAGAGCTGTGTCGTCGGCGAATAATCCATGTTCCGTATGAGACGGTATACCATTCATCGAATCTGCCGTGTAAATGATGTATAACAATGGTGACAAAGGAGATCCTTGTGGTGTACCACTCTTAAGCTGGAACGATCGTGATAAGACATTTTCAATTTCAATGGCGGCTGTTCGATTGTGCAAGAAAGAGATTAGGTATCTGACCATGTATCGAGGAAGACGTAGATCATTGAGTTTGTATATTAGTCCATCATGCCATACTGAGTCAAAAGCAGCTTTAATATCGAAGAGAACGACTGCCGAGTGACGCCTCGAGCTTTCAGCTGTCAGCTGTCTTTCAGCATATTGTTGTAATCTCACGATATTGTATACTGTACTTTTTCCTGGTCTGAAGCCAGCTTGATGTTCTGGTAAGATGTTGCGTCGATTAAGTTCAGACATTAGACGTTGTTTGACTATTTTNTTGTGTTTCTCTCTCTACTGCTATCACTTCATTTTCTTGTGCTGTCTTGTTATAAACTTCACGACATTTAATGTGATGTTTGATTGCAAGGAGAACTCCAACACCAGATTTACCTACTCGATCATTTCTGAAAATGTTGTAACCCCAGAGAGAACTGACGTTCACTCTTAAGATTAGTTTCATTCACCGAAATGACGTCGTATTTGGAAAAGCGAACTAAGAGTTCGTCCTTGTGTTTGACTATGGTATTAATGTTAATGTGACATATCCGAATCATCGATATCACTCGTTCTCGGGTTTTTGTTGTTGTTGTTTTTCTTCGTCTTTGCGTCTGGTGGACTACTCGACGCACGCAGTCTCTTGTGCGTATTGTTAGCTTCGATTTGCTCTTGTGTTCGATGTTGTTTAGGAAGAGGAATATTGGAAGCTGTATTGACCTTTGACGAGGTTGTGATCGATGAATCGGTTGTTAGAGGTTGATTTTTCTGTTGGCTAGCTTTGATGTGCTTAACTACTTGACTTTCCTCCTGAGAGTCAGAGTCAGAGTCTGTTGAAGCATCATCTTGGCCTTTTCCATATAATCCAATTGACTTTTCGATGCATTTGATCTTTTTCTGTAGCTTACGGAATAATCGGCTTGTTGTTTCTTCGATTAATTTTTCCATTTTGCTACTGAATGCATTGAACATTTGATCGAATAAGTCGTTTTGGAAACTATCTTGTCGTTGTTGGAATACATTTGGTAATGGTGGGAAGTGGTTGTTGTCGTGGAGGGCCGGTACTATTGTTGTTGGTCTGCTTGCTGTTGCGTATTGGTTAATCAAGTTTAGCATTCTTTTTTCTTGATCCTTGAAGAGTGGACAATCTATAGAGGTAGCTAAATGATTACCTTTACAGTTGTGGCATTTGGCTGCATCGTTGGCAACAGAGCATTGGTCCAATTTGTGGTTTTCACCACATTTGGCACATACTTGTTGCTTCGTTTTGCAGTATTTGGCCACATGATTGAATTGCAAGCATATATAGCATTGCACCGGCTTGTTATTTTGTGATGCTGGCTCAGCGGTGAAGTGCATGCAATCCACCTGTAACCCAGTATGCACGAAAGTGTTTCGATTTTGAACATCACTAAATGATATTTTGATTGTTCTTGTTGGGGTCTTTCCATCTTTGCTGGTGAGCCGAGTAACGTTGGTTACATCAAGACCGACGGCCGTTAATGCTGCTGTTATTCGATCATCAGGAATTTCAAGATCAACCCGTTTGACGAAAGCCATTTTTTCTGTATCCTTGATCCGTTGAATAGATCGAGGAACATAGACACTAAGGTCGGTTTGACCATTTTCAGCTAATTTTGTCGTTAATTCGTTGAGGAGACGATTGAACGATTTAACATCATACGCATAGAGAGTAAAATTTCCTGAACGTCCGAGTTGGATGTCAGTAATTTTGATGTCGCTAAATTGCTGCTTCAAAATATCATTTAATGCCATTTTTGTCAATTTGGCTCCCTCTAGAACCAGAGGGGCAATACTGAAAGGCTGTTGGTTGTTTTTCTTTGGGTTTGGCGTGCTGCCGACTAGGCCAGTTCTTTGTGTGTTGGTCGTTGTTGTCGGTGTCATTGTTGTTGTTGTTTTCTTTGTTGGTGGTGCTTTTGTTGTTGTGGACGATTGTGACTGTTGGCCGTCGAAACTATTGTTTAGTTTCTTCGCGCCAGCACCACCACCCCCTCCTTTGGGAGCCATGGACGAAACCAAGGGGTTTTTGATAAAACTTCTTTCTTCTAGTGAGATTTTGGAAAACTCTCGAGAACCGGAAATAATAAAGATCTTTTAAGTCGTGAGACCTAATCGTTCAGAAGAGCGAAACGAAAATGGAAAGATTGGAACCTCGTAGAATAAACGCTGGTTCAGAGACAAGACGAAAAGAGAGCCCTCGATAAAGCGACTGATCACTACCGAGTGTATACTGCGAATACCGTTTTATTTAACATATAGTTTGTTTAAACATGCTATGGAAAAACAGTTGAAAAAAAATTTCTCTTTAAAATTGAAAATGATTATATGCTGGCAGACAATAGTAATATATTATATTTTTCCTTAGATTGGTAAAAGCCACATAATAATTGTTGCAGCATTTGAAGCAGCATTTGGACTACAACCAAGTCCCGGTGTTAAACAGCTTGCTTCATATAAAGCATTTTCAATAATATCTTCAATATAATCAGAATAATGATAATATTTATCAATAAGTTCCATTATTTTATCAATTCCAAAATAAGTTTTAACCCAGTTAGGAAGTCTATTCCATCCTTTTAAAAGTGCTTGTCGTATAACACTTAATGCAAGTTTACCTAAATAAGAAGAATAATTAATTATTTACATATATGTTCTTTATTTGAATATTTACCTTTACCACGAGTTTGTAATTTATAACCCAATTCGTCATCATTATTGAAACGTGGTTGACCTTCAACTTTCTTCTCTTCATCATTATTGGACATCAAGTCGACATTTATCGATCGAATACCATAAATTCCTTTGGATAATATAAAGTTTCACTTCAATAAACTTATTGAATATTAAAATTACTAAAAACTTACTTTCTGCTTCAGCACAGAAAAATGCTCCAATAATCAAGAGTATGCAAAATAATGCTGCTTTCATGTTGATCAGTTTTGATAGTTGCAATTTGGTAACGAATGTTTAATAGTGAGGTCTTTATATACAAGTGCAGCTCGTTACTGGAATAATACTTATCAATTAATTTGGATTTAAGTATAGATTTACAAAGCGTACTACTAATTCAATGGTTTTTCTTAGAAAACGATCTAGTTTCGTAGAATTCTCTAATATACACTGGGTTTAAGTTGGCTAATCTTTAATATTAGATTTCTTTTCGTTGAAAAAAGTATCGATTTCATCATACCAGGCTTCTTTAAATTTGCGAAAAGAAAGAAAACGTTTCATAGCATTGTTGAAAATTGAATCGAGAGACGGTTTAGATGTTTATTTAAAATAAAAAAGTCTGACTTTGTTTAAATGATTTCAATAATTTAGGTTGACTTTTATTCGTCTATCTGTGTTCTTTCATTCTTACCAAAAACTGAACTTTGAATCACCTTGTCTACCAACATTAACATACAGCACAGTCGTCATTAATAACTTCGCAAGGTTTGATATAATTCAAAATGAATGCGGATGGAAGTTGGTGTTTGTTTATTTCTTTTCACGCAGATTCGTTAACAAAAATATTATTGATACTTCAACTTTTTCGGTACGTACATACATCTATTCTGTTCATGATCTATATAATCAGAAATAGCTGAAATCTATAATCCATCGATATGTTTATCGGAGCTGTGAGCAGGTCATTTTCTTTTGCCTGGTCTATGATAGGCAGTCAGGTACCTGCCACTGGCTAAGTAATATTTGGGTATTTTTTTTCATTTAAACTTTTAAAATACGGATTTGCCTATAATTTTAGCTCTAACTGTATAATTTATTTTGACAACGATAACAAAAAATTTTTCACATCACAACAATGGTAAATTAAGATAGAGACACAATTCACATTCACAACTGATTTAAGGTGGATCTAATTCAAAACTCAAGCAAATTGTTTTTGTGCATTTTTTATGAAATCCAATGCAGTTTGATGCGCTGAACCCCAATATGTATGATTTATTTAGATAAAAAGTTTTTTTTTCGCTGAAAATCGAAAAATACTGCAAACGACGATGATTTCATAAAACGGGTTTTCCACTAGAGTTTTGACGATAGAGCTTGGAAAACATTTAATATAGCTTTGAAAGTTTTTTCTCCTGATTCACCATCAAAAACTGATACTAGGACACTAGTTTTCGATTGCGCAGCGGATATATTTACCATTAAATGAATTTATTTCTGTTCACATACCGACCAGTTGAGTGAGCCTCATTGAAAATACATCAACTCATTTTCTGACGAAGATAGACACTTTTTTCTTTCATCTTTCGACCACTGAAATGCTCTAGATATAATCTACGTATTATCTTTCCTTAACTCATTTTCTTTTTCAAAATTTACTGGGTATTTCGCGACTTTCCCGTACACACATGCAATTTTTGGTTTTTACGAGCATTTTGTAATCGGTGTGAAGCTAGCACCATCGAGCTAGCACCATCAAACTAAGCATTTTCTGAAAACGAATTCCGGTCGATAAAACCGAGTGTATTCGATGCAGAATTTAATTCTGAGTCCAATGGTGACATTTTTATTCGCCGGAAAACGTTCGGAGAAAAATTTTCTTTGATCTTTCTTTATCCATGATACATGTATGTGCATCATTTTCCGNACGTCTGTGATGGAATATTTGGCCTGTCGGTCACGGTCTGTGATGGGATTTAAGAGCGTCTGTAATGTCTGTGGGGGGGGGAGGGGGGGGGTGGGTCCAAATTTCTGCCCCTACACACTTCAACACTCTCTTTCAGATCGTGTTTCACAAAATACAATAGACTTTATCATGACGTTAGCCTTGCTCATAAAGAAGACTTGCAAAAAATTAATTTTTCGCTTCGTTGTATGTCCGCAGGATCAAAGAATCATCAAGTTTTCTTTTAAAAGTTCACTAAAATAAAACGTAATTGAAAGTACAAAATTCAAATTGAAAATTGGTTTTAATCATCAGTGTGAAGTTGAGGGTAAGGGTAGGAGTGATTTTTACGTCGACGTTTCATAAATTAAAGCTAACTGTGAATAAATTCCATTCATTTGCAAAAGATCATCGTGAGTGCCCTAAATAAACATATATAGTATTGATTAATGCAATGAAATGGGTATAGAGCACAAAACGACTATTGAGATATATCAACAATAATCATGAATGAAAGTATATTACGTATTAATAAAATACTTACTTGTTCTTTTACTCTTCCGTGATCAATCACGACAATTTTATCCGAATTTTGAATCGTTGATAAACGATGAGCAATTTGTAAACAAGTTCGACCTATTTTCGCTTTTTCTAATGTTTCTTGAACTAGTTTTTCACTTTTGTTATCCAATGCTGAGGTAGCTTCATCAAGAAGAAGAATTTTTGGTTGTCGTATTAAAGCTCGAGCAATGGCAACTAAGAAGGATGTACAAATATACAATAATATCATAATTTATCTTTAATAAAATTACTTCGTTGTTTCTGTCCACCTGATAATTGACTTCCTTTTGCTCCACATAAGGTTTCATAACCTTTTGGTAATTGAGCAATGAAATCATGTATATTTGCATCACGAGCAGCTTTCTCTATTTCAGCATCACTGATATATCTACTATTGTCACCATAAGTAATATTTTCACGAATTGAAAGATTAAATAGAACTGGTTCTTGTTGTACAAGACCCATTAATGATCGAAGCCATTGAATATTAAGTTCGCTAATATCATGACCATCTAGCAATATTTTGCCTTTCAATGGTTGATAGAATCGTTGTATTAATTTAATTAATGTTGATTTGCCACTACCTGATGGTCCGACAAGTGCCGTTGTCTTACTTGATGTACATTTTAAAGAAAAATCTTTAAGAACTCGAATGGTAGGTTGAGCTGGATAACGAAAATAAACGTTTTGAAATTCTATATCACCTTTTACTTCTTCCTTTAAAAAAAGTTTAAGACAATATTAAAAATTAAATGACTTTATTGATATGATTGCTAACATACTAATTTTTTACCAGAGTTATCGTTTGGGTCGATGTTTGAACGACGTTTGCTCAGTTGTAAAATTCCAAGGGCTGCTTGCTTCGCTTTGATATAGTCAGGAAGTCCACCAATTGAACGTCCAACTGCTTGCATTGAAAAATTAAGAACAAAATAGACTCTATAAAAATAATTTGATTTTTTAAGATTGATTTTCCATTTAAAATATTCACCTAAATACATCAGCAAATGTCATTTCGTTATTTTGTACAAGTTTACTACCATATGAGAATGCTACACAATTGATAAAAAACGGCATCGATAATGCTATACTTGTTCCAAGTGCCGATACATATAGACGGCATATTTGTTTTCTAGAAAAAAAACATTTCTTATCTATAGGATATTTTCTATGGAAAATTTCATACTTAAATTGTTGATCGTATTGATTCGTATACAAGTTGAAAAAGTGTTCTTCCTGATGAAGTGCTACTACAGTACGAATATGTTCAATAGCTTGATTAGCATACTGATAAATATGAAAGAAATAAGAAAAATACATCATATAAAAATCATAACTAGTCTTAGTTTTTTCTTTACCTCTTCACCATTTCCATTGGGAAGATGTTTTGCTTTTGTTTGTACTGTTTGAATATTCTTTTGATTCAACAGTTTTCCTGAAAGTGTAATTAATGGTGCAAGACAAATGATTACGAATGTCAATTTCCAACCAAAACAAAAGGAAACAACAATAGCACCAATACTGATAATCAATGCTTCTAAAATTTTACCAATACGAATACCTGATAAACCCTAGAATGATATACAATGTTATGTAGATAGAGATTTTTAGTTTTTTTTTCTCTGAATTTACTTTTAGAGCTGCAGACTCTTGTGATAAACGAGTAGCAAGAGATTCGGGAGAATTTGTTTCATCATCGAAATATTCCATATCTTGTCGTAGTATAGAAGTAAATGCCAAATTGCGCATACGCATAGCAAATGCTTCTCCTGATTTAGCAAATGCAATACTATTGATAAATTCTACTAGAGCTGAGACAACTCCCATGATAAAAATAATAACAGCATAAATATTTGTCCAATATTTCTGTTTATCAATGTTCGGTTCGGCAAATAATTCATAGATCTGAGCAAGAATAAATGGTGCTGCTATTTGAATAGCTCCAAATATAATGCATGAAAATATAACAGTAAGCATCCAATACCATTCAGAAGCATTCAGCTTTAAAATACTTAATAAAAATGATATATCCAACCACTTTTTATGTTTCTTTTCAGATCTATTGAGTTCTGTTTCTTTATCATTATTCTGTTCTATTTCTTCGAGTGAATCAATTGAATATTTTGAAGTTTTACGATTTATTTCTAATATAAATAAAAACTCTTATTCTCGGAAGCATACGCTTTTCGTATTTTATTTTATGAATTTTCAATATAATCAATATGAAAAGCTTACCTGATGTTTCTCGAACGGAGGGTTTCACATCATCGCTATATTCTTCTTTATCATTGGAAATTTCTTCAGATTCTTCTTCCTTCTCATTTTGTTGTTGAGTTGTCACCATTTCATAGTAAAGACCCTTATGTTCCATCAATTCTTCATGTGTTCCACATTCGACCACTTGTCCGTGTTCTAATCCAATAATAAGATCAACATTTCTTATAGTATGTAATCGATGCGCAATAATAATAGTTGTCCGACCTATTTTTGCTTTGTCTAATGCATCTTGTACAATACATTCAGTTTTATTATCTATGAAAAATAAACAAAAATATATGAAACTTTCTTTTGAAAATGTGTAACAAGTAACCAAGTGCACTAGTAGCTTCATCTAATAATAGAATTTGAGGTTTCGAGACGAGTGCTCGAGCTATAGCAACTAGAAAGAAAAGATATATTAAAAATTATTAAAAATTTTTTCTCTATATGCGAAACAAACCACGTTGTTTTTGACCACCACTTAATTTTTCACTTATTCGTGTTTGATAATTCTAAATATGACTGAAAGAGTCAAATATTACTGTATTTCTTCCTTCGTTTACTTTCGGAAGTAACATAATAAAGTCATGTGCATTCGCCATTTTGGCAGCTTCCACAATTTGTTCTTCTGTTGCATTTGGATTACTTAATCGAATATTATCTTCAATGGTACCAGAGAAAAGAACAGGTTCTTGACTAACAATTCCAATTCGTTGTCGAAGTGAACCAACATTTACAATTCTAATATCTTTTCCATCTAATAAAATTTTCCCATTATCTACATCATAAAATCGTTGTATTAATTGAATAATAGTGCTTTCTAAATAGATATTTTAAGTATCTAGTTCATTTAAAAGATAATTTCTATTTACTGCCACAGCCTGATGCTCCAATTAACGCTACTGTTTTACCAGAAGGAATCTTTAGAGAAATATTTCGAAGAATCTATATTAGATTGATATACTAGAGAGTTTGGATCAAAAAATGAAAAATATGAACTTACGGGAACGTTTTGTCGAGTAGGGTAAGTAAAATCAACATTTTTAAATTCAATATCACCTGTTATTGTCAAAGGTTCAGCAGGAGCTATAACAGATGCGTCGATATTTGACTTCTAATTACATTAATACGGTTTATATGGTGTCATGTTTTCAAAATATTACATACTTACTCTTTCGAGTAAATCAAAAATATAACCGCCACCACTTAATGCTTCGACAAAACTTTGAATATTTGGAATAGACAAAGACAAATTCATGGCGGCTATCTATAATGAAAGTCAATAGTGATATTTCTCTCCCTCTCAGATTTTAACTTACTTTACATGCCATAAAAACCTTTAAAAACGAATATATATATATATATATATATTTGACAATAATCAAAATGAAATATAAAGTTACCACAATGATGGTTCCAGCGGAATAATTTTTACATTCAGATCGTACCAATTCTGGACCATACCTTATATCAAATAAATAACATTTCTAAGAGATAAACAATTCACAATATTTTACCAAAATGTAATTGCAAAAGCTGCATTACTAAAAATCTGTGTTGCTACTCGACAAAGTCCGATATAAAAACCTTTTCTAATTCCAATAGATTTCAGTATACTCAATATTTTGTTAAATCTATATTTCAAAACAAATAGATATAGAAAAGTAGCAAATTGTTTAGGAGCGATTCCACCGTATATCTGACACTTTATACATTACTTTCTCCAAACTGATTTCAAAGTTCAGATTCATGTGGAGCATCGCAGACAGCCTATGTTCGGCAACAAAAAATTTGCTCTAAAGTCAGACAATGTGGAGACCAGCGATCATCAATTTGTACAGTACAAATACGAAGATCAAAGGGATCCTTTGTTCATATTAATTTAATAAAAGGCGAACGTAGAATTCCGGAGCATGGCGACTTAGCATGTTCTGAAGAGCGGCTTGTTTTTCTACAAATCGACATGGAAAACTTTTCGGGGGAGTGTTGATTTCAAGAAAGCAATTTTTTCTACGTAGTTTACTTCTAGTTTACAGATGATACAGTGACAGTATAGTAAAAAAAACTCGCTTAAAACTTGACATGACTTCCCGAAAAGTTTTCCATGTAGATTTGTAGAAAAACAGGCTGCTCTTTAGAACCTGCTAGGTCGCCTTGTATTAAACTAATATGAACAAAGGATCTCTTTGATCTTCGTATTTGTACTGTACAAATTGATGATCGCTGGTCTCCACATTGTCTGACTTTAGAGCAAACTTTTTGTTGCCGAACATAGGCTGTCTGCGATGCTCCACATGAATCTGAACTTTAAAATCAGTTTGGAGAAAGTAATGTATAAAGTGTCGTATATACGGTGGAATCACCCTTAGAATAATTCATATACCGTTCTTTTTCTTTTTCTTGACCATGAAATGATGTTACTAATCGAATATTCTGTAATACTTCTTGAATAATTGATGCAGCATGTCCATATGCTTCCATCTCTTTACTAATAAATCTCATGGTGACCTACACGTTTATATCATACATTAAAACGCTCCTAATTGAAATTTTTTGTATAAAATATACATTTACCTTACTAGTCAAATAAAATAAAAGAATAATAAATGGTATAACAGCTACATATACTAATGTTAATTTCCATCCAGTAACAAAAGCATATATAAGTATACTAATAGTTTCTGCTGATAATGTAAGAAGTTCGATTATTTTGCTACTAAGAAAAATATTTTTCAAGTAAAGAAATAATAATAATTATTTTTAAAATATAAATATACTTAATTCCATCTTTCATTTTGTCTAAAAAGGATAATTAGCATTTACTACTAATTATAATTATATATTTCTTAAAATTAATTTTACCTAGATTCATTATCAGTCGACTAGATAATTCACCTGCACTCTGTCTGTCAAACCAACCAATTTCTTGATATAAAATATTTCGAAATACTTCGTAACTATATCAATAGATTGGTAAAAACAAAATTCGATTTCTCTTATTTTATTAATTTCTAACCGAATACGACGAATTTGTCTTTCAGCAGTCATTGTCCAACTTGTCCATGCCAGCCAACAGAAGAAAATATTAAGAAAACCAATCAATAAAATCCATTTAGTGTTTTTTATTATCGCATTATAAGGTGAATAAGACGAATTCACAGTTGATATAACATGACTGAATAGTAAAAAGAATTAATCTGAATAAAAATGAAATTTTAATCTACTTACCACTCGTCACTGTTGTTAATCGATACATTCATGATTGTTGTATTGGTGTTCAATTTACCTTCATCAACGAGATGATCAGCCATCTGCTTATAAACGAAGAGATACAATGAATAAGATGCTGTAGAAAAATCATTTCCTTTTATTTATTTTCTTCTGTTTTTTGTCACTTACCACCGGTAATTATAGCTAAAAATAATAAAAATAATAAAATAATTTCGAAAGAAAAACTTTTAGCAAACCAGCAATAGTACCAATGATCATCAACAAAATATCCCATTTATCAGCATATTGATATATTTCAAATAATCCTAATCGACGATCTTTATTATTCTTATTATTCATGTTGATTAATTTACGAAAAAATCTATAGAAAAACAAACAAACCGTGAGTAAACTAATAACAGTTTTTGATTATCCGCAATGCTTCCATATAAATTCAATACAGTTAAGATAAAACTGATATCAATAGAAATCAAAGGAAGAACATATATGTTTTGTATGAATCAATTTGATCTAAAAAGAAAAAATTAATATATATTAAAGGTTAGTTATCAACTTTTTTCAATCACGAAAACTGAAAATATAGTCTTATTCAATTACTTATTTGAATCTAAATTAATATTAGTCTTCATATGAGATGAATCAAAAAGTAAATAGCATATTTCATGTCCATTTGCAATTTGTATCATTTTCCAAATTAAATCATATTGAATTTTATCGGAAATAACCGAATCTTGTTTATAATTCGGATGAGAAGTAACAAATTGTCGAATCCAAGAAGCATTTGTTAACCAAATTTCTAGAAATAGAAATTAATCAAAGAAAATTATGTTTAATCCTGTACCCTCCTATAGGTCATATATGATCCATTTGTAAAGCTATTGCAGAAAATAAAGCACGCATAGTATTCAAGAACTCTTAGAGAATTTGTTGTAGTAAAATTCATGGACTACGGACTAATAAAAAAACATTCTTTCCGCTGCATTAGTTCCGAGATATATGACTTGTAAAATCGATTATTCTGAAAACACCGAATAATTGAAATTTTTTATATATCTCGGCGATGTGTGGTGTGATTTACATGGAGGGAAGTATTCACTAACGGATTACAGAAGTCTCAAATATTGGAAAAGCATTAAGCAGGTAAGACATGGTAGACTACACAATTCTACTGGAGGTTCAACGAAAATTCAAAATCTTAGCTTTTCGACGTTCACAGCCCGATGATAAATTTTTATTTGAAGCATCCATAATTCTACAGCGAACAATTTTCTACTAAATGAGACGACCCTGAGTTCTCTACGATTTTTTTGGCTGAACTACATCAGTATTACGAAGAGTCCGCAAAATTGTTTTCAGTTCGATCCTGCTACCTGCTCTCAGCAAAGTACCGTAAGATTGAAGTGTGCTTTCAATCGATCTGTCCATACTTTTAGCATATCAGAGGCATTAGTACTATTCCAATAGATGTTTCATTAGCAGTTCTTTTTGAAACGCTCTGGGAGGTAGAGGGTTAAACTTATCAGCAGCACGTTTTGAAATTAAGGAAAGATAGTGTTCTACGAGGATTCTTGTATTAATATCAATATCTTCTCGATCATTCAAATATTGTTGAACAATTGATATTAAATCTATGAAATCATTTGCATTGCTAATTAATTCATTGATTGCCATTAAACGACTTTCATTTCCAATACGAAAATAAAATCTTTCTCTTCGAACTGAATCTCGTCGATGAGCTCGAGACATGTTTTCTTTTGTCTAGATTTTTTCTAAAAAAATCTTTTTCTTTCTAACAATGAAAACCGATCTTACTTGAGAAATAGGAAGAGTTAAATCAAGATTAGAAGTTAAAATCGTTCGTGTTAATAAAGTAACAAAAACAAATAGTGATGCATTTTCGAAATAATTAAATATAAACATCCATTCGTCGAAATTCTACTCTCCAACCTATTTTATTATCTTCTAAGGGCGGTGGTTTAAATCGAAGTGAATACCAAACAGTTGAATTTAAACTCTAAAGTTCAATATAAACGATAAATTATATTTGTTTTTCAAGAAAAAAAAATATAAACTTGAAAATGACAAGTAACGCGGTCTAGTAGCCGCTAAGCCCTCTACTGAAAGGATAATATAAGAGCGCTACTCCTCGTCCAAAGAGAGAAAAATATTATTTCAGTTGAACGATCTGATCATTTGATAGTTTGTCAGAATGTTTTACCTAGACCAATTTCGCTTCCTAAAATCTTCTAAAATTATAACGCCTAGTCGTTTGTCGGCTTCTCTCTGGTCAACCACTCACCGCTAGCCGTCGGTACCTAATAAGTGTTTAATGATATTTTCATTTTAAAAAGTACCTCGTTCTTGTTGAGTCCGTCTCTAGCAAAGTTGCCGAAATTCTTCACAACTTCGTGACCTACAGTATATCTTTTATTATCATTTTTAGTTGAATGAGTTGGTGATCTACATAGTTTTTTT